CCCCCCCGCACCTCCCCAAACCCCACCCCCTAGCCCCAAATATATTGCTTTTTAAATGCAAGACTCTCATTTTTGCCTTGTTCTCAGTTGTTCAACAAACTCAATTCTTTCCTGTTGAGTCAGAGCCAACTCACAGCTGATCTCTCAGTGGGTGTTTAGAGACTTATATTGAACAGATTTCTCCTCTTTCTCCTGAGGAGCCCTGGTGGATTTGAACCATCAAAGCAGGGCCACCTTTGGATTAGCAGCACAACTTCCTATGGACTAAACCACCAGATCCCCTGTCCTAATGCTTGTTGTTATTATGTGCCGTCAAGTCAGAACTGACTCATGACTGACCCTCCAGCAGGTTTTTAGTGGCTACACATTGTGGTGGGAGACAGTGCCCATCCTTTCCCCAGGGGCAGGAGAGTCAGAACTGGCTTCTAGTTGACCCTCTGGTGGGTTTTCAAAGGCAGTTAATCACACAGGAGGAGATTGCCTATCTTTCTCATTTGGAGCAACCGACACATTTGAACTGTGTGGATTTGTGTTGGCAGCACAATTGCTATTGCATCACATCTAAAATGATGATGATGATGATGGCGGCACTATGATAGATGATGAGAAGAGAAAGCATTGATTCTGATGGTGTCTGCACAAAGCCACTGGCTGTACACTTGCCAGCTCTCCCATGGCGGTTTGTCCTTCCCTCTCAGCCCTCAGTCAGGAGGGTTTACATACTTTGCATTGTTGAGCTTCTCCTCATCATCCAGGTTTTCAGTCTTCAGAAGGTCATAGTTAATGGACCCTGGCTGAATGGCATCGATGAGGTCCAGAACAGGCAGACTTGTTGTAATCTTCGGGTCCTGCACAGAGAGGAAGAGTTCAACAGGTTGCAAAGTTAGACCAAAATGACTCTAGGTAGAATTTTGTTGCCCTGTTTCAGCATAAATTTGGTGGCCTAGTGAGTAGGGAGTTTAACTGATAACCCAAAGGCCTGTGGCTTGCATCTACTAGCTAGCTACTCCACTGGAAAAAGATGGCAGTCTCTTCCTGTGTGATATACAACCTCAGAAAATCCACTGGAGGGCCAGCTATGACTTCGTTCCAACTCAATGGCATTGAGAATGGAGGAAGAATGTCGCAGTTCCTCTAGGCTGGATCCCCAGACTGACCATATCTAAAGTAAAGCTGATATCAGGATAAGGTGACTAGATGACCAGCTCCTGATAAGGCCCTGGGTCTGGTTATGCATTAACAAGACCCTGGCTTCCAAATTCTTGAGCAAGCTACCATCTTCTTTAAATTTCTTTAACAGCCTCTATAAAAAGGAACTGTCTTTGTCTGCCTGCATGCCTCTCTGATCCTTTCTGAGAGCAATCACTTGGAATTCCCTGTCCCCCTCAGACCTTTTTCCTTATTTCTTTCTTGGGACCAGTCTCTCTCTCTCTCTCTCTCTCTCTCCCTCCCTCTCCCTCTCCCTCTCTCTCTCTCTCTTTTTCTCTCACTTCCTATATAACTGAAGGAGATTTGTGTGTGTGTGGCTTTGTCAGATTTTCTGATGTTTTAGCTACAATATGCCAATTAGTATTTGAATCTGTATCAATACCTTTTTTTAAGAATGAAGTAGTAATTAAAGGAAAAAAGAAGGAAATTTTTTAAAATGCTTCTATTCAATTACTAATAAAGTTGTGATTCAATGTAGAATACTGACTTACAACTTAATAAAATTATAACTCAATGTTTAAAGATTTTACAAAATAGTTTCTTGTTGGTATTATTATAATCTAAGAAACAGAACATCTAAGCAACTTGCAACAATATCTGTACGATAGTATTATATAATTAGAAGTTGTAATAAACATTATTAATAATTCATGGTGTCATATGGAAGTGGTAGGTGGGAGCTGGGGTCTGGATACAATTATTTAACTGCTTTTTATAAAAACCTACCAAGTGAAAAAAACAAAACAAAGTAAAACAAAAAACCTACCAAGTGGGAGAGCATTTCACAGCATTTAACATTATGTTAAAAAATTACAGACTACTGTGCATTGCTGTACAGAGGTAACTCGTGGTTGCTGTGATGCTGAACACTGTGACACTGATGTGCCAAATGTGACAATGGTTACCCATGGTGGACAGTGTTTGTTGGACCTTCCCAATTAAAACAAGTTTGGAAGCAGGAGTGGCATCCACTTCTGAAATGGCTTGCCTCCGGAAACTCTAAGAACAGTGCTCAGGTCTTTTGTTCATAAGGTCGCTATGAGTCGTCTATGACTGGATGACACTTAACAGCAACCACCACCATCATATTTTATGTTCCTCTGAAAAAACAATGCCTCATTCTGAAAGAACAAGAATAATGTCTCAAACGCTGGTGGCTTTATTATTATTACTAATTATCACAGAATGTGAAATTTGTCAATGAAATGGTGTATGAATGTAAAACTATAATGAGTCACTCAAACAAAATCCAAATGGGAGGGGAGCCTTCAGTATCCAATGCCCACCAAAACTCAAACTCACTGCTGTCCAGAGGACTGACTAAGGGGCAACCCTCCAGCAGGTTCAAGGTGATATAATTTGCAGAGAGGAGACCGCCTGTGTTTCTGCAGAGCCACTGGTGGATTCGAGCAGCCAGAAAAGGGCACTGCCTTTGGGTTAACAGTGGAACTCCCTACGCACTGCACCACCAGAGCTCCCTGGCAGTATGGATAAATTAAAAAGCTCAAACTCATTGTGTTGAGGCTGAGTCGACTGACAGTTGACCCTCAGTAGGTTTTTGGAGTCTATACATTTGCCCGGGAGGAGACATGGAATTGCTGGAGGATCTGAACCAGCTGCAAAACTCCCTACAGACTACGCCAGCTGATCTCCTTCCCAGAATGGATGTTGTTGTTCTTGTTGTAAACTGCTGAGTCGGAACCAGCCCACAGCTGACCCTTCACTGGATTTTCAGAGTCAGTTACTTGAATGAGAGGAGATTGACCATCTTATCCTAGCAGAACAGCTAGTGGATTCGAACCCATGCCTTCAGGATGGCAGTGCGCTTCTTAACTTTCAGCCACTAGAACTCGCTCCCAGCATGGACAGTCAATTGAAAACATGGTGGAGGCAGTGGAGATGAGCACAGCCAGGCGGCCTCTCATAGTCTATGAGGAACTTTACCTTGAAACTGGAGATGGATGAGCTTTTCCCTGCTTCCTTCAATGTTTCATTCACCCAGTTGACAATGATGTCATCATTGACCTTCTGCCCACCGCCAATGTCTTCAAGGATATTCAGTGTGTACCTGAGCAAAATCAAGAATAGGGAGCAAAGTTGCTAAAGAATTCATGTAACAATAACCAGAATCAAAACTGCCTTACCTTCACAGAAGATAGTCTAGACATCACAGTGTTTGAGGGGAAAATAAACACACAACAGCATTAGTTAAACAAACAAAAAAAATCACTTGAAAGGTAATGTTTTAATAAAATGTAAAATATCTTCCTCCTTCTAAGTATTAACATTGCAATGTGAAGAATGAGAGAAGGGGAAACAAAAAGGAAGTAAAGAATTTGAACTAAAGGAACCATAAAAATAAAAAAGCAATTGAACATTGTTTTTTTGTTGTTGTGGGTGAATGAGTTGGAACCAACCCATAGCTGACCATCCTGTGTGTTTTCAGAGGCAATTAATCTCATGAGGGAGATTGTCTATCCTTCCCCTGCAGAACAGCTGATGAATTTGAACCTTGTGCCTTCGAGATTAGGCAACCCTAAATTGACAAACATAAGAAAAACAGAAGTTTGGGGGGCAGTGCCTTTTTAAAGACCAAGTATAAATGCAAATGTTAGGAGAAAACCAAGAAAAGGTAATCTCGAAATGAGGGGAGTTTTTAAATTTATTAGCTTTTGTAAGCAAACCAATTTTAAAAAAGAAAAGTAAAAAAAAAAAAAACCAACCCCAAGAAGATATTTCAAGATCCTAAAATTGTCCAGAGCAGGGAAGAATCTAACTCCCCTAGAGCTAGTTCATTGGGAGGTGGGGGGTGGTACAAACAGAAGGAGGCAAGTCAAGCAGTTTGGCAACAAACAGGTGTGTTGACCTCATGGTTTCATTTGCCAGAGGTCAAATTACACAAGTAAGACCTTCAAGGCTGGGATTGCAGAGTGAGCGCGCCAAGCTGCACCTGACTATCCTGTGACTCAATGAGGTAAATGAGGTCACTGTTCATTGAGGTGCCTGCGTTTTGGCTTACATAATCCCTCAGGTATCCTCCTGCCATTCCCACGTGGCTGCCATCCTATCCCTGAAATAGGGGCAGTGCCTGCTTCCTCCAAGATGCAGGTGGGGGATGGTTCTTGAGGTTTTTCTTTGCCAAACATGCTGTTTAACAAACAGACAGCCAATATTATTTCATTGATACCAACTGAATCTCCCTTTAATTTACTGGCTGTTTGTCATTCTGCCTTCTTTCCTCACAGTATCTCCAAAACACTGTTTAAAGTCTCATTCTGATCACACCATCCAAATGGCTCTCTGTGGCTCAGACTGTGACGGTCCACATCCTGAGGATGGTAAACTAAACCAAGCTAGTTGTGATGTGTAGTTGATTCAACTCATGGAGACTCCATACGTGTTGGAATAAAACGGAGCTCCACAGGATTTCCACTGGCCAAATGTCAATGCCTTGCTTTGCTTCTGAGAGCTGGACAGTGAATAAGAATGACAGAAGAAGAATTGATGCTTTTGAACGGTGGTGTTGGAGAAGAGTACTGAATAGCTAATGGATGGGCAAAACAAAAACAAACCAACCAAACAACCAACCACACAGGAGAAGTCTTGGAGAAGGTGCAACTAGAGTGCTCCTTGGAGGCAAAGAGGATAAAGCTCCATCTCACACACCTCAGTGTTGCTAGAAGAGGCTATTCATTGGAGAGGACTTTTAGTTAAAAGTCCTACACCACCAGAGACCAAAGTCTACAAGCCCTTCACAGTTTGGTTCGAAGTCCCTTTGCAGAGAATCTCCATTTCCCTCTTCCTGATCCTCTGATATTCCCTTTAGCCATCTCCTTCACACCCCCTTGCATTTTAACCTCACACACAGGCCCTCCTACCCCCGTCACACCAAGTATCTTGGTTCCATGATTTAGCTGTGCTTTCTGCCTGGGATGCCCTTTACTTCCAGTAAATTTTTAGTCTTCTGAACAAGATCCAAAACAAGCATCACTTTGCCAACTGGTCAGGGTAGTGAATTCATTGTTGTTACTCTTGTTCAAGTTGTTTTCCAGGACTTTGTCTGTCACACCCTCTCCTACACATCAACAGCCCCAATCATCCCTGCTTCCATGGCACAGCAGAGTGCTTTGGACAGAGTAATCAGTTGTCATTGAGCCAATTGTTGTCACTAAGTCAGTTCCAACTCATGCCAACCCCATGTGTTGCCACACCCAAATGGTGTTACATGGGGCTCCCAAGGACTGGTTTTTCAGAACTACATTGCCAGGAATTTCTTCCAAGTCACCTGTTAGTAGACTCATATCTCCAGCCTTTAACTGAGCAATCCAACTGCGGCACTGCCGAGGAGCTCTAGTGGCTTAGTTGTAAGGAGTTATGCTGGCAACCCAAAGGCAGGTAGTTCAAGTTTACTAGCTGCTTCACCAGGGAAAGGTGGACAGTCTCCTCCCATCTGACTTCCTGCCTCTGAAAACCTGCTGGATAGCTATGAATTGGTTTAGACTAGAAAGTACACAACAACAATAGAGAGTCACAGCATATATTAAGCAGCTCTGGAGGCACAGACTATAGGGGATTGCACTGCTATCCCAAAGGCCACACTTCTGTGGCAGTTCAAATCCACCAGTGACTCCTGGGCACAAAGATGGACAATCTCTCTCCAGTTGAGTTACAGCCTCAGAAACCCATTAGAGGGCCAGCTATGAATTGGTTCTAATTTGACAGCAATCAGTGAGTTTGTGTTTGAGTTTACCTATAAAACAGTAGAATAATGGATAAAAAAAATTAAGGGTATCTTTTTTCCCCAGGAAAAGCAAGGAATAAAATGATCTGCAGATAGTATAGATGAGCCATACTTAGTCTTTGCTCAGAGATGGGATGAGAATGCTCAGGAACAATGATTACAAATGGGAGAAATGTCAAGCCAACTTTCAAAATCTTCCTTATTTAGAAAACGAAAATCCTAGTTTTGACTTGTTCATAGAAATTATGTTTTAGTTAGTAACTGATTTCTTGTTTCCATATAGGTAGCATGTAGATTATGCTATTGACATTTGCTACAAGAATTTCTGCCTAACAGCTTTCTTGTCATTAAGAAAGGTTAGGTTAAATCTTGCTTCGTTGGGTCATGTCTGTACAGAACCTGAGGGGGAAAACTCCCTGGTATCAAGTAATTTTCAACTTAGAGCCATGCTACAGGACAGAGAGGAGCTGCTCCCCAGTGTTTTCACAGGATGCTCGTCTTTACAGAGCAGACAGCCACATCCTTCCACAGAGCAGCACACAGCTTCGAACCTCACCAACTTTTCACTTAGTTGCCTAGCGCTTAATTGCTCTGCCTCCAGGACCCAGAACTTGAGGAAGCAAACTAATTTTTTAATCTTCTAGAAGTTCAATTCATCTTAGAATTTAGTCCTCACCTCTTTTTGTCAGAGTTACAGTTCTGTTTTATTATTGGCAAACTCAAGTAACCAGGAACACTTTCCATTCACCTCTTAAGACACAAAAGTAAATGGTATGAAGGCCTGTCAGTACACAAAAATGTACTCCCAAAAGAAAAAGGAAAGATCGTCCCAGAAGAGCTGTGGGTGAGCATTAACATTACTGGTAAGTATATTCATTTTCTCCCGGACACAAGAGCCTACTATTTGGTCCTAAAAGCCTTCTGAGGTCCCAACTCTTCTCACTATTTCTTAGTTGTTGGAATTGATAGAAAACCTCATAAGCAGTTCCTTACTTCACCTCTGCCTTGCATGCAGACTTCCGAGTTGTAAAACAACCCAGTGGTAGATGGAATTTGCTCCAGGACTTAAGAACAATAAATGACATAGTTGAGCCTTTACATCTTGTGGTTCCTAACCTTTATATTATAATAGACAAAGTGCTAGTCAATAGGTCTTTTATTGTAAGAACTACCTTCCCTCTGTAACTTGATTTGTGCCACTATTAGAGCCTCTACTTGGAATATTATTGCTTTTTAATTTTTGACTCATGTACTTTTAACTTGTTAGTTAAATTTGTGTCTTCTAGGCTGCAACACTTCCATGATACATCTTCAAGGATATGAGCATGTACGGCTAAGCACAACTGATAACAGTGCATCTAAATTCCAAAATCAATCTCCATAATAATCTATGTGTTTCCTACTGCCAAAGGGGCCCTTTAGAGTAGTGAGAGAAGATCTTCACCCTGAAACCTACAGCATCCCTTTTCAGCAGGAAGTAGCTAAGAGAATAGGCCATCCCCTTTTCCTTATGAATCAGGGTGAAGTCTCTCTCAGGGAGGAGTGATAGGGAATGGCAAAGGACACACTGACAAAGGAGATTAATCAGAACTGGCTTTGACAAGCACTGTGGCAATTGGACAATTAAAATGGACTTTCAAGGAGGGAAAAAAGAGGAACAAACTGAGGGGGAGGGTAGAGAAAATAGTGCAACAATGAATGAGTGGAAACCCAAAATCTCTGTAAATGTTTATTAAAATTAATAAAATTTAATAATTAAAAAAAGAAAAAGGAAAAGAGGCATAATGAAACAGAGTCCTTTTCTTATTCTTTTAGACCACGACCCTTAGTGACTCTATGACTAGAGATCAAAACTTCGCCCTCTCATGGCCCTTCCTCCTATCTGCACCATGCCCAAGCTCCTTGCCCGCGGTCATTGGGTCATTCCCTATCCTAAAGAATCTTTCTCTCATTTGCTGACCTTTCCCAGCATGATGTCTTTTTCCAAGTCTTCAGGATGGAGCTCCTACAGCGATGCAGAAAATTGTGGGGGCAGCTTGCCACATGCTGGAGTTGAAGTATATAGAATCTCTTACAGTAGCCCACAGCTTTGATGGACACCACGTCAGATTACTCAGTAAACATGGAAAGAGTAGACTAATCCGTAGTGAACTGTATCACTTATTTCCGCCCCCTCCCCCCCTCCACCTTTATTAAGGATTCTGGTTCTAGACATGACTGGTGACTGTCTTTCTCCCATCCTCATAGAATCTTCCTACAGCATCAAACTGTCACAATCCCTCACAGGACAGAGTGCTCAGTGAACAAGCTTGCTTGCTAACCTGCAGTGAACAGAGTGAAAACATGTGAAACTGTTCACTACAGATTAGGAAGAAGACACACACGTACGCCAGTGCTTATTTGCCTATTGGGTGAATACAAAGCGGTCTTTCTGTTACCTTGAGTGAGATGTAGGGGTTTAAAATGAATGTGATACCCAATTTTAGGTACAACGATAAAAATAATGGGTCTAATTTCTTGAGTTTTAACGTTAGACAGTATGCTAGGCAATTATTCATCTCAATATAGAATCAAATTTTTGAAATAGACTAATTTGGCCTGAGTCAAGTCAAATTTTCCTTTTTTGAGACACTAATTTCCTATTGTTAAAAAGGTTTTGGAACCATCCAGGTAGGATCCCAACATCACTGGGGTTTGCACAGTGCATGGTGCTGTAAAGTCCCATCAGAACAAAATGGCCACATAAACCCTACTTCTCCAAGTTGCCAGACAGGACTGCAGAGTAGGGAGTGCGCTGGGATGAGAAGGAATACAGTTATTACTGTGCTTTCCTGTCCTCCAACTTTTTATTTATTTCACATACAGGAAGACAACATAATGAGATGTAGTTTGGTTGTTTTTTTTTTTCAGAAATTCTTCCCCCGCCCCAAGAAATTCTTGTAGAAAATGCCGATAACATAATCTATATAACTATCCAGAAACAAGAAACTAGATCAAACATAATTTCTAAGAACAACTCAAAACTATAATTCTTTCCAAATAAAAAAATATTTGGAACATTGACTTGGGATTTCTCTCAACTGGAATAATTTCTTCTTAACATTTGGGTATCATCTCTGAGCCCAGACTAAGTATGTATTTTCTTGTTATTTTATCCCTTGATTCTTTGGGGGAAAATGTAATTTCTTTTACCCATCTTTCTCCTTTTCTCAGCCTTTTTGTGCCAAGTTTGATTCTGAGGCACCCATTCATCTGCTTGCCTCACACTGTGTTCATTCTCTGAGGTCTGTCATTGCTGTCTGCATCAGACTGCTTATTTCAAATCTCCAAACTTACACATACAATCTTAACTTTTCTATCGGAGAACAATTTTTAAGCTACTGGAGGATAACGGGATATTTAGATATATATCTCTCATTCAGTATTGGAGGGAGAAATGACATATTCTTTATTACTCAGACAAATGACCAAACTCGTACGTCTGAGCAATCCACAAAATAAATTCCAGATAGCATTGCAACAGGCAAGAAAGCAACTGTTACGTGCCATCAAGTTGCCTGCCACTCACAGCTACCCTATATACAATACCTCTGAAGCCGCCTCTATTCTGAGCCAGTCTCACTGTCTTCAACACACCTATCTCCACGACCCCAGTTACTGAGCCAATCCATCTCATACAGGGTCTTCCTCTCCCGTGCTGTCCCTCCACCCTTCCAAGCATGATGTTATTCTCCAAGGACTGGTCCCTCCTGGCCACATGCTCGAAGTGTGTGAAACAGAGCTTAAAAATTCTTTCCTCCAAGGAGAAACTTGTTTCACCCTGTCTAAGACAGACCTATTTGTTCTCTTGGTGGTCCATGATGTATGTTCAATATTGTTCTCCAGCACCACAACTCAAAGGCAGCAATTCTTTTTCTGTCATCCTTAGTTATTATCCATCTCTTTGATTCATAGCAAGTAATTGTGAACACCATGGCCTGAATCAGGTGCACCTTAATAGGAGACTAATATTCTTTTAACAATATTTTTAAAAGGAGTGTTCTTTATGATCTGGAAGGGTAGTTGAAAGAGATATCCTTGTCAGGCTGGAGTCCTTTGTCCTCTCAGGCTGAAGGGATAATTTTGAGGAAGACCCTAATTAAGTTGGAATTTTTTTCTGATGATTGGGGTTGCCCCTTCATCCTGCTCTCTATAGCTAAAGTCACTCTCTTCTATTAACATAGTACTAAGACCATCTGACCTTGTGTCAAAGAATACCCCAGTTTTGCACATTTTACTATTCAGTGTCTTAGATACAAACTATGTATAAAGTGAATGAGATTAAAGGAGATATAGACATTACAGAAAAATGCAGGAGTAAACCTGAAGATATAGTCAGAAATAATCCAAAACAAAACACAGAAAAAGCAAAACAAATGAAAAAATGAATAAAGTAACAATCAACTCCAGATCTACTTCAGATGCAACAAGAGTCTCAGTCAACTTGAGATTCACCAGGAGCATCAGTCATTCAGAACGGGTACAGGAGGCATACATGAAAAAATAAAGGCCAAAATTATTCGCCAAATTTGATAAAAATTACAAATCCACAGGACCAAGGAGTACAACAAATCTCAAGCAAAATAAACACCCATCATAATAAAATTATTCATCATAATAAAAGTATTCCAACCCAATGATGAAAAACAGTCTGAGGGAAAGAAATTTCCCGTACAGAGAATGGTCACAGGATTCTCTTTGGGAGACACACACATTGGAAGAACAGGGAACAATATTTTTAAAGTACTGAGTATGTGTGTGGGGAGAATCATCAACCTAGAATTCTATATCAAGAGAAAATCACCTTCAAAAACAAAAAGGAAAGACTTTTCAAGTATATGAAAGTTGAAAGAATTCAACAACAAAATTATTTCAGGCAAAAATTAGAAATAACATAAAATAGAAATCTAGATTTACAAGAATGTATGGACAGTGGTCAAAATGGTGAACATCTGAAGTACAGCATGTTGTTAGATATCATTAAGTTGACTACAACTCATAACAATCTGTGAACAACAGATCTGAATTTTGCCTGTCCTGTGATGAAGAAAAGATTCAAGTTGTCAAGAGTATTATTTTACTTGGATCCATAACGAAAGAGGATCCAAAGATCATTTGTGGTGGTTGTTGTAATGTACCATCAAGTCGCTTGTGACTCATAGTAACCCCTATATAAAACAGCTCTAAACCCTGCCATATCCTGAGCCCGTCTCACTGTCTCTGACACTTCTATCCCCATTATCCCACTACTATGTCAACCTATCTCATCTTGGACTTCCTCTCTTGTGCTGTCCCTCTAACCTTCCAAACATGATGTCTTTTTTCAAGGACTTGTCCCTCTTGGCAACATATCCAAATATACAAGACAGAGCTTCAAAATCCTTGCCTCCAAGGAGCAACTCAGCTTCAAGGACAGACCTGTTTGTCCTTTTGTCAGTCCATGGTATGCTCAATACTCTTCTCCAGCACCAAAGCTCAAAGGCATAAATCCTTCTGCCACCCTTATTCATTGTCTAGCTTTCTGGTATGTAGCAATTGCAAAAACCATGGCCTAGATCAGGTGCACCTTAGTCATTAGACTAATATCATCTCTCGTAATCATTCTGGATAGGTCCCTGACAGAAGGTTTTCCCAGTGCAATTTGTCTTTTGATTTTCTGACTGCTAGTGTCAAGGTAGTTGATAATGAAACTGAATAAGCTGAAATTGTTAACAATCTCAATCTCTTCTCCATTTATTATGGAGATGCCCGTTGGCTCAGTGGTGAAAATCTTTGTTTTCTTGATGTTGGGCTTCAGTCTATATTGGAGACTGTAGTCCTTGACCTTCTGCAGCACACAATTCAGGTCTTTCTCAGTTTCAGGAAGGAAGGTTGTGTCATCTGCATAGCATAGGTCGTTGTTTTCCTTTAATCTTGATGTCACATTTCTCCTCATAGAGTCTGGTCTCCTAAATAATCTGTTCTATATATAGATTTAAAAGGTATGGAGAAAGGATGCATCCTTGATGTATTCCTTTCATGATTTTGAACCAGGCAGTGTTTCCTTGCTCTGTTCTCCTGTCTGTCTCCTGGTCCAATTACACGTTTCACATGAGCACAATTAGGTGTTCTGGGATTCCCAGTCTTCTCAAGGTTATTCACCATTTGTTGTGATCAGCACAGCCAAATGCCTTTGCATAGCCAATAACATTCAGCCATTTCTCTGATACTCCTCAAGTCAACTACAACTCATAGCAACACTATAAACAACAGATCAGAACCTTGCTCTGTCCTGCACCATCACTGCTCCCTCTGACATGCTAGAGTTCATTATTGCCATCTATGTCAATCCATTTCAATGAGGCTCTCCTTCTCTTTCTCAGACCTTCCACTTTTCCCAGTCTGATGTTTTCCCCCCCTCAAGAACTGACTGCTCCTGATAACAAGTCCAAAGTATGTGAGATGAAGTTTCACCATCCTTGCCTCTAAGGAGCACCAGGGTTGTACTTCCTCCAGGACAGATGTGTTTCTTCTTTTGACAGTCCTTAGTACATTCAATACTTTTCCCCATAACATCACAACTCAAAAGCATCATATCCCCTTATTTAACATATTTCTTTTTGAAAGAATTAATTCTTTTTGACACAATTAGTTAAAATAAAAGGATAGAAAAATATAGTCTATGCTAAAATAAAAATGCAGATTTCAAAAAAAGTAGATTTCTGAGAAAACGATAGTATCAGGTAGAACAAGGATCATCTCCTTCAGATCAAAGAGTGAGATTTAAGAGATTGTGCTAGTCTAAGATACTCACCAGTCTAACCAAAGAGTTTCATAATACAAAAAAGAAAATATATGGAAATTATAGGATAAAAAAAAGAACATTTAAAAAAATACTTTTGTTATTAGCTTAAAACGTAGCTTTTTTAGATTAAACCACATTCGTGAAAATTTGCTACATTTTAGTAGGTAAAGAATGCATTCATTAAAAAGTCATTTCCACGTGTCTCCCTACCTTCTCATCAACTGCCAGAGCAAGGCCAGGGTTAGCGTGCGGTTTCCTTCGTTGAGGTCTTGTCCGGCAATGCCAACCAGGGAAAACTTGGCTTGGTTCTTCCCCAGGTCCACGGCGTAGTTGCAGTTCTCCAGCTGTAAGGAGCATAAAGTAGACAATTTCATGTTACTATCTCTATGATGATTGATACTACATAAAAAAAAATAAAACCACAGCACAAACTATACATGGTCCCTCAAGTTTCCCCTGGCTTTGGAATTCCAAGACGGCAAACCAGCTCAAGATTTTCTCCATCTTTTCATAAATGAAACTCCTCACTTCCATCGGACACATTCAGGGTGAACTCTAAGTGCTCAATCTAAATGGATTCATTATGATAAATATTTTCAGGGCTCCATCACACTGTGACCTCGTATTGGTGGAGATCACTGCACTTCACAAGGGCTCACAAAGCTCTGAGATTTTGGAAGCAAACTGCCAAGCCTTTCTTCTAAGGCACCTTTAGGTGGTTTTCAACACATCAACCCTCTGATTTAGCTTAACCACTGTCAATACTTGTTGTTGTTGTTATGTACCATCGAGTCGGAACCAACTCAATCACAGGGGAGGAGATTTCCCACCCTTTTCCTGCAGAGCAGCTGGTGGTCTCAAACGGTGCCTTTGAGATTGCAGCACCACTTCTTGCCACTAGGCCACCAGAGCTCCCTCTGTCAATACCTAAAGACCATAATAAAAAACCATTTTTATGGTCACACTACACTACACTGGAACCTTCCTCAGTTACTGTCCCAAAGCAGCAGAATTGATAGGGCATGACTTAGAGGAGAATGTATATATTTTCTATCAACAACTCAATATATACACTTAGTAGACTAATAAGCAGGGCAAATATTCCTGTGGCTACACAAAGATCACTAAGAATCCCAGAAATGTGAGTGGGGAGTAACGGTTGTGCTAACGCTATTGCTGCTATCACAAACATCACGTTTCCACTGTGTTGACAGTGAACAGACTCTGAACACAGCACTCTGTCAGCACAAAGCTCCAGCTCCTTGGAAAGTTACAGTGAGGACCCTGCTGAAGGAAGGAGAGCCCTGTAGCTCTGCTCAATCTATTCTTTTTTTAAACTACATGTACAACTTAGCACATAGAGCTAGTGATCACTTCCTTTTGGTTGTGCAATCATTTCTCTCTCCTTTCTTGAGTTGGTCCTCTCCTAGTTGCATAAACCCATTGGGCATAAGGCTTCTAGTCAACCTGTTCAGTTGTTTCTGTCAATTTGACAACAATTCTCAATGTGAACTTCCCTTAAGAATTAAGGTTGGAAGATTCTTTTAGAAAAACCATTTCAGCATCATTCTCTCTGGCTCCAAAAAGTCTAGCGTCCATAAAAAGAAAATAAAATTGAGATTCTGTTCTCCATTTACCTCCTTTTGATCAGAATCCTCAATGGAATCAATGATCGAAACTCCATACTATACTATACCACTGAATAAGAGTAGTAACTGGGCACCATTCTTCTGGACTCATGCCAAAGGAGGCAGTTGCTTCTGGACGCAATTTCATACTCACTGCCCTCCATTAATTACAGCCCTCCAACAAAACCCACTGGAAGATAAGCTGTGGGGTCAGCTCCTATTCGATGGTACCCAACAACAATAGCACAACCATCTCGTTTTGGAGGCTGTATATTTTTATATCTTTCTCATGCAGATGGGCTAGTGGATTTGAACTGTCGACCTTTTGGTTAGCAGCCCAGTGACCTAGTCTTGACTATCCTTTCTCACCTCCTCTAGATGACTAAAACCAAATTCTGTGCTCGCAGGCTTTTAACAATGCAGGGACTATGCACTCAATTAGGAGACAGAACAGAGGCACTAAACATATTAATAGGTCAATTAGATTGGATGTCTCATGATAACGGGACTCAAACTCAAAACACGAGAACCAAATTCCATGAGGTATTGTACATATAGCAATCTCAGCAGCTATTCCTTTTTTGTTGTTGTTGTAAATAAATTTAACATACGCTTTTTACCAATTCAGATTTTCACAGGTCTACAGCCCTAACAGCATGCAACCCTACCTACCAACAATCAATGAGATTTTCCCTGCTTTAATTACCTTAATGAGATCTGTTTATATCATAATGATTACAGACATTTAACACAGAACTATAAACAGGGAACCAACTGAAATAATGGAGTTACTCTAATAAAACCACCTGGGTTTCTGATGCTATAATTTAATCTTTGAATCAACATTATTCATCTCAGTCTGGCTTCCTGATAAAGAGATCACAGTGCAGTCTTGCAATGTCACCTGCATATTGAAACATCAGAGTAATCTAGCCATTGTTTACCTTCTTCATATTGCCCCCCAGTTTGGGGTAAGGTGGTTTGTTCACTCTGTTCCAGTCAACAGGGACTTTAATCTTTTCATAGAGCTGGAAGATGACCAGGGAATCTGATAAATCACTGGATAAAAACAAACACAAGAGCAAGCTCAGAATCCATCTTTGCTGATGGGCCCACAGGAGGGCAGGCTCTTCCTGCTGCATCAGCTTGAGTCACGTTCACAACAACCCTGCAAAACTGCTATTAGTCGTTCCATCTTTAGAAATGATGACACTATAATGCTGGGAAATTAAGACAGGTGCCAAGCTTTCACCAGGTGTGACTATCTATGAAACCACAATGTGCAGCCCCCAAGAAAAGGAATATAGTTATAGAAAATAACATAAACACAACTAAATCACTATCAAGCCAATTCTACCTCATGGCATCAAAGGAAGGCTGTGTCTGCATAGGTTGCTTTTTTTTTTTTTTTGGAAAATTTTTAAAAATGTTATTATTTTGTGTGTGTGTGTGTGTGTGTGTGTGTGTGTGTGTACAATCAAATTGGATCTGACTGGTACAGGAGGAGATTACCCTTCCTTCTCCAGCAGAGCATCAGGTGGATTTGAACAGCACACCTCTGGAATTGCAGTGTAGCTTCTTGCCACTAAGCCACCAGAGTTCCCTAAGAAAAGTGTTCCATAGGGGTTTTATGGCTGATTTTTTTTTCAGAAGTAGACTGCCAGAACTTTCTTCCAAGGAACTTTGGATGGACTTGAACCTAAAACCTGTCAGCAGGTAAGTGTGTTACCGTTTGCACAACTCAGGAACCATAAGGCAAGAAGCTTTGGTGCGTACTGTGTTATGTGTTGCACTGCTAACTTAAAGAGCAGTGGGTTGACTGCACCAGTTGTTCTGAAGAAGAAAGATAGGCAGTCTGCTTCTGGACAGATTTTCAGCCTTGGAAACCCAGCGGAGGGTCACCATAAACTGGAACTGACTTGGTATCAATGATTTTGTTTTTAAAAATTAGAAAATATTTAATTACTGCAAAATTAACATTTATTCTTTGACTGCTTGTGAGCAAATCACAAGTTTATGACATGTAGTGAGCTTGTCATCCTGATAAATTATGACCTTGAATCAGAAACATAGTGAGGTCTCTCAGAAACATAAGAGTCTTTCAGCTAAACACCCGACATGTACTGCTCAATTTAGCTCTATTATCCCTTCTCATCAAAGTCCACAGCTTGATGTTTGGAATCTCGCAGATGTTCTAAGGTCTCTGTGACTTGTATTAAGAATGAGATTCCAAATAGCCTTACCTGTACAAATGATTGACTCGAGGATTCACGCCCAAGGAGTTCATCCAGTTCCTGAATGTCCGCTCCTCCCTCGTCTCACCTAAATGAATAAAGACCAGCTTATCTTTCAGACCCCTAGGCAGCCTGTCCATTTCTAGGAACACAATTTAATGACATCAATTAAGAAAATGGTTACTGACAAAATTATTCCAGCTCATGGTGACCCTATGTGTCGTGGAAGTCTTTTCTGGAGGAATTTTTGAACGTAGATCTCCAGGTCTTTTTCCTGAGGCACTTCTAGATGAGTTAGAACCGCTGACCTTGTGGTTAGCTTAACTACTTGCAGTACCAGATCTACCTAAGTTTAACTAAAGAGAGCATCAAAAACTGAAAGTGAAATGAAAAAAAAAAAATAAAAGGCAAATAAATGGTTTGACTGCTAATAGGAATATTGGCCTTGGGAACCCACTGGCCACTTTGTGAAAGACCCGGTAATTTGCTTATGTAGGGATGACGGCCACGGGGCAGCTTTGTCCTACAGGGTGGCTGAGTCAGAACTGACTTGGGGGCCTGCAACAAGAGCACTAACAAAATGGACTGAATGATTTGGGCTGAGGGCCGCTAGTCTATGCCTTCCCCTTTCAGGTCAACAGGTATTTCTAGAAAGTTTATGATATTGAATAAGATTTCCAGTGGAGAGACTAGAGTTTATCTTCACAGGCTTATATTCTTTCTGAGTAAACTAGAAATTCCATCCTTTAATTAGTCCAAGCCAGAGGCTCAAGATATGAGGAAGATACAATATTTGAGTTGAAATCGGAAAAGAGTTGATAAAAGCAATTGCTGTCAAGTTAATGCTGATTCATAGGACCCCACATAGGAGAAGGTTGAACTGTGCTCCACAGGGTTTTGTTTGTTTTCTTTTAAATTTAATGTGCTAACTTGACAAATTCATTGCCATTCAGTAGTCAGAACTGACTCATAGTTGACTCTGCACCTGGTTTTCAAGAGGCTGTAAGTCGCATGGGCGCAGACTGCTCATCTTTCTCCCAGGGAGTTAAGTCACCAGTCTCAGAAAAGTCAGTTGAGTCAGTTCAGTCTGTGATTTTTTTTTCAGCTTTGTTGTTGTCTGTGACATCAAGTCTATTCCAGTTCTTAGTGACACAAGAAGAAAGGAAGTCCTGTCTGGTGGGGTTTTCTAGGCTGTGACATTTATGAGAGCAGATTGCTAGGTGTACTCTTCCCAGGAGCAGCTAGTTGGGCTCCATAGGGTTTTCAATGCCGATTTTTCTAGAAGACATCACCAGTCCTTTCTTCTGAGGCACTTCTGCGTGTATTCAAACTTCCAACCACTCAGTTAGTAGGGGAGAGTGTTAACTATTTGCATCACTTAGGAGTCCTATGGAAAGAATGTTATCACCATGTGCTAGTAAGTCCATTCCAATGTACAGCAACTCCTCCCTCCTCCACGTGACCCCACAGAACTGTGCCACATGATTTCCTAGGCTATTTCGTTTGTGGAAGCAGACTGCCAGGCATTTCTTTAGGATGTATTGGATCCTCTGATCTTTCCATAGCAGCCAAGCACTTAATTGTTGCCACCAGGGGGAAGGAAAAGTGTTGGTTAAATTTGGAGGGAGTATGATTTGAAATTTGAACTTCACATTAAAGGGCTATTTAACACTGGATAATAAAGAAGAAAGATTCTGGGGAACAGGAAGGAGATATAGGTGGCGTAGTCTGTAGTTGGTTGTGTTGCTATTCCAAAAGTGTCTAGGGGGCTCTAGATCAATCAGAGGACAAGGGTGGGAAGTCTCCTCCCATTAGGATTTATAACCTTAGAAACTGGAAGGAAGGTCACTGTGCATTGGAACTGATTTGATGACAGTTTCTGAAGGAGAGAGTTTAAATGTAACACAAAGGTAATGGTAGGGAAGCCTTCTTCTATTAAGAATACTGGGGACTGAGGAGCAGGGATGTGTGCTAGACAGCACTCAGCGAGAGAGGGCTGTGGAGAGCCAGCAACCAAGATAGGAGCTCTATGGAGAACAGAATCTCTATGAACATTCTGATAGAACAGACTATGCCAGTCACTATAGGTTCTTCATTATTATTATTATAAATTCTCGAGCAGGGCACAGATATAATGTAAGCTGAACTGTCATGTGCCTGCAGCCATGCAAAGAATGCCTAGAAAGTGGTGTGAATGTTAGCATATGGAAGGGAGAGTGCTTGGCACTGGGGAACAGCTGACTGACATCAACTGAAAGAACTGATGAATATAAAGACATGAGAGTCCAAGAAGCAGAAAGGAGAAAAAAAGACCAGGACATGATGAAGAAGAATGGTTACAACTGCTGATTTACTAGACAGATGAGTGAAGTAGAAATCAAAGTGGAACTCAGTAGCCAGAGTTTCAGCAACTTAAGGGTTGGGGGGGAAGGATCTGAACAAGGAAATGGTGAATTTCTAGGAGAGTTGATGAAATGGGATGGGGCGGCTAGAGGTACAGGTGAAAAGGCTATAAAAATGAGTTGATGAAGACTGTTTATTGGTGACTATATATACATATATATATATA